GTCTCCCTCCCCTCGTCTCTGTGAAAGGAGCTCTTGAAGTTCTTCTTGCGTATGGGTTTCGAGGAGGCCTTTGCCGGGGGTGGGCGGGGGGGTTTAGGGTTTAGGGTTCAGGGTTTAGGGTTTAGGGTTTAGGGTTTAGGGTTTAGGGCTTAGGGTTTAGGGTTTAGGGTTTAGGGTTAATAAAGGTTTAGGATTAGTTGGGGCTACGGGGTGAGATGCTGGCCCAAGCGTGCCCATTAGAAATGTGCTCTCCATCTGAATACCAAAAGTCCTAAGAGTACGAACGCCATCTGCTGTGCGATTTGAAGTTGCATCGTAGTGAGCATGGTAGTATTCTCAATCACAGTTTTATCCATAAGGATATTCGTCGTCATAGTGGGAGGTACAATAACTAAACAATAGCGGGAGGTACAATAACTAAACAATAGCGATCAGAAACAGAAGAGGAAGCATGAGCATCTCAATGCCAACAACCCTCAACGATAAACCCATACCTTCGAACAGCAACACACAGCCTTAAGCACACTTCCAACGCCGCACAAAATTGAGCCTTCCCTAGTGAGTCTTCGGATTTGAGACGGCCGTGGCATGACCGAGCTTGTCAAGGTTTGGGGTTTAGGGTTCAGGGTTTAGGGTAACTGGTCCTGGCTTCGGGTGCCGGGTTTAGGGCTTAGGCTTCACAATTTCAGGGCTTTGTGCTGTGGGGTTTGAAGTTTAGGGCTTAGGGGCGAATGGGTGTCAGGTGGAGAACGACAAGTCGCTGTCGCCGGTGGAAGGGGCGTGGTCCTTGGCCGGGCGATGGGATATTCCGATGGTTTTCCTTCACGGCTGGCTTGCCTAAAGGCCCTGAACCCCTAAACCCCCAAACCCCTAAACCCCTAAACCCCTAAACCCCTAAACCCCTAAACCCCTAAACCCCTAAACCCCTAAACCCCTAAACCCCTAAACCCCTAAACCCTAAAGGCTCTAGTGGGGTAGTAGACATCTTTTGTCGACTAGGACGACTATAATGCAGCAAAAGCATTCCCAAGAGGAGCTTCGCTAGAGCCTTGTTTGTAAGGTTCGATTAGGGACTCGGTAGAGAACTTTTAACTTTGTTTGGTTATATAGAGTCTTATATATATATATATATAAACGGTTAACCTTGTCTGGGCTAGGGTATTCAGCCCAGAAGTAAGTCTCCAAGTCAGGTGTTGGCGGCTCTTGGAGTCTTGTTTTTCGGTTTGTCTATACGGGGGTTTCCAAACATAGGCCGGGGGGGACCTTACCGGGTCCTTTTACAAGGGAATCTGACTATTTGGGGGTCGATTATAGGGGCCCCGTATTTTCGCAAACCCCCATATCACAGCTGGGTCGGAAGCCGTCCAGGTATTCGCTCCAGCTAGCCCTGTCCGTACTTGCTCTGGATGTAGCATCCCACAGCCCAGAAGCCTGAGCAACCCTATTTTGTTCGATATAGGTTACCAGCCCTCGAAGGCTCCCTGTTGAAATGCAGCTTTAGAGAGAACTAACTGATCAAAGGATTTAGCGTGCAGGCCCCAAGGAACGAAAGGAGGGACCCGTATTATGAGGGACCTGAGGGGTTCTTTGGGGGTAATATAGGGGCTACTGAGGTATATGGGGACGTATATAAGGGCAACACTTGCTGGTATGTAGGGAGCTACAACTAGGAGGTTCTCTAGAGGTAGCTTGCCACGAAGGGCAGAACCAGGCACACGGTACTTCCCTAAATTCCTTAGTATTCTTTGAACCCTAAACCCTAAACCCTAAACCCTAAACCCTAAACCCTAAACCCTAAACCCTAAACCCTAAACCCTAAACCCTAAACCCTAAACCCTAAGCGTGGCTAAAATAAGGTGATGGAGCTTCCTTTGCCACCTTCCCTGGGGGATGCAGCTGGGTCCGTTGCGTGTCTCGGCGGCTCTGCCAGTTGAGGGTTCTCCCGAACTATGCAAGTAGATGGGGCCCCTTATATACATGGTTTAGGGTTTAGGGTTTAGGGTGGGTATTTCCCAATAGAGGGGTACCTGGTACCCCTTGTATACCCAAATAGAATAAAATCCCCTTCAAGGGACGCCACAAAAGGTACCCGTCTTGTTCTGAACCAACCCCCCCCCCCCCCCCCAAATAGATACCATTCAGAATATGATTCCTTACAACACATGGTCCCCAAAATGCCCCCCCCCCCCCCCTAAACCCTAAACCCTAAACCCTAAACCCTAAACCCTAAACCCTAAACCCTAAACCCTATAAACCCGAAAATCCCTCCCTTGCCTTGAGGTTTCGAGGTGTTTTAGGACAGCCGGGCTGCCCAAGCATGACTAGAAAGCCTACCGAGTGACGCCGGCAACCCCGAAAGCCCCAAAACCCAAAAACCCTAAACCCTGAACCCTGAACCCCTAAACCCTAAACCCTAAACCCTAAACCCTAAACCCTAAACCCTGCAGTAGCGCCCAAGTTCCTACGACATCCAGGCACAAGAGCTCGATCTCCGAAAGCAACTCGTTCCTTGGCTGCCCGTGGTTAGGGTTTAGGGTTTAGGGTTTAGGGTTTGGGGTTTAGGGTTTAGGGTTTAGGGTTTAGGGTTTAGGGTTTAGGGTTTAGGGTTTAGGGTTTAGGGTTTAGGGTTTAGGGTTTAGGGTTGTTAGTTGTTAGGGTTCAGGGTTCAAGGGTTCAGGGTGTGGGGTTTATGGCTTTATCGGTTTAGGGTATAGGAGTTTAAGGTTTAGGGTTTAGGGTTTAGGATTTGTGGTTTAGGGTTTAGGGCAGTTTAGGGTTTATGGGTTTACGGGGGTAGGAGTTTGGGTTTAGGGCTGATGGGCTTGTGGGTTCCTGTAATGCGCAGACAAGTATGTTGCCCTCCTTATCTTCCCCTCTTTGGGGTTTAGGGTTTGGGGTTTAGGGTTTCGGGCTCTCTCTCGCCTTTCACGGTCTCCTCCCCTCCCTCTATCTCTGTTTCTTGCATGGTCCGTTCTCAAAATGATAGTCCCTTTGGGTTCTGAGTTTTTGCGGCCGCCTCAAAAGAGTAAGGACTCCAAAAAGGGACCATAATTTAGCGAGGTGACCAAATCTCTCTCGCCTCTTTGCTCGTCTCTTTCTCTTCAGCCTCCTGCCACGCGGAAGACAAATGTAAACTCAGGAAGAGAACTCTAAACCCGCAACGCCGAGCCCCGAACTCCGAACTGTAGAACCTGAGCCCTTATAACACCCTAAACTCTAAACCCCAAAACCCCAAAACCCCAAAACCCTAAACCCTAAACCCTAAACCCTAAACCCCAAACCCCAAACCCTAAACCCTAAACCCTAAACCCTAAACCCTAAACCTGAGCAAAGGAAAGCGGTGAGCCTTGCCAAAAAGCAGGCTGGTGTCTGTTTGGGTCTAAGGGGTTCATGTGACCTGTTGGGCTTAGGGTTTAGGGTTTAGGGTTTCGGGTTTAGGGTTTAGGGTTTAGGGTTTCTCTACGGGCAACTGACCTAGGAAATTCCTGGTCGTCGTTCCTTAGCAGATGTTATTGCTTCAAGAACCTGAGTACTCTGAACAACCCTAAACCCTAAACACCCTCAACCCTAAAACCCTAAACACACTAAACCCTAAAATCCTAAACCCCTAAACCCGCTAAAGCCCTGAGAACCCTGAACCCTAAACCCCCTAAGTTTTGTATATTCCTACCCTAACCCCTAGAGCCAGAGAACCCTCAACAGAACCCTGGACTTCTAAACCCCCCAAAAAGTTTTAGAGCCCTATACCTTGCTAGCCCAGTGGTACCCTTTACCATTTTTTTTGGGGGGTGATCACGGGTTCCCTTCTACAGCAAAATGGGTGCCCTTTCTCTGGGTTGGGATGTTCCCTCTTGTACTAACAGTCCTTGATAGGGATTATCAGAGAACCCCGATTATAATGCCTATTCAGGACTGCTAGTGTAAGGAGGGGCATCCCAACCCAAACCTTAAACACCCTGAACCCTAAACCCTAAACACTAAACCCTAAACCCTACACCCTACACCCTACACCCTAAACCCTAAACCCTACACCCCACCATCCCAATTCCAGGGCGACCAAGAAAACCCAAAGGTCACCAGGAGTTCGGTGGAAGGCATTTGGCCCAGCAACCCCTGAGGGCTTGCCTGGGGGAAGTAGAGGTCCCCCCCAGTGGATTTAGAGTTGAGGGTTGAGAGTTTAGGGATTTAGGGGATTTAGGGGATTCAGGGGATCTAGGGGTTTAGGGTTTAGGGGTTTAGTGGTTTAGGAGGTTCAGGGCTTTTAGGGTTTAGGGTTGAGGGTTCAGGGTTTAGGGTTGGGGGGCCCCCCCCACCCCCCGCCCTCAACCCTCAATTTTTGAGCTTGCGGCATCCAGCCCCGCATCTTCAATCCTAACAAGGGTTTAGGGTTTAGAGTTTAGGGTTTGCCCTTGATTTCTTGATCGTAATACCCAGGCTGTTGGTGCTCCATTCTTAACCCAATGAGGTCTTCAAGCAGCGCAGTCACTTTAGCTAGGATCTAGGTTACATTAGATTCGGGCTGTGGCTAAACCCAAGCCCTAAACCCCAAACCCCAAAACCCCAAAACCCCAAACCCCAAACCCCAAACCCTAAACCCTAAACCCTAAACCCTAAACCCTAAACCCTAAACCCTAAACCCTAAACCCTAAACCCTAAACCCTAAACCCTAAACCTGCAGGCTGGCAAGCCGAACCGGAAGATGACAGAGAAGGAGACAATGACCCGATAAACCCCGGCTGCAGCAGCCAGAAGAGTCGCTTTTGCTCTCTTCCGAAGAACTACCCGGTTTAGGGTTCAGGGTTTAGGGGTTGGGGGTTAGGGGTTAGGGTTTAGGGTTGAGGGTTACTTGACAGCTGAGGACCCTGACAGCTGACCATCATGCCGCAAAGTTTCAGGACCAAGGACAGGCCCTGAGGCCTCAAGGCCAAAAGCCGTTTAGATCTCAGCCTGCCCACTTCTTGAGCGCCGCGTTCCCTCAGTTCCGTCCTTTCGGCGCAGCCATGGCTGATGATGATCTTGTGACCGTTGTGGGAAATCCGGGCGAGCCTCCTCCGGCACTTCAAGTGCCGGGGCATTCAGCCAGTTGACATAAAATGTCTCTTTCTTAGTTTAATTCAGATCACCCTAAACCCTAAACCCCCCTTCGGATCACCTTTTTCAGGGCCCGCCACCATTGCAGGATCAGGTGGCAGATATGACGGAATACATGGCGGACTTCTACACCTCCATGAAGGCCGTGAGCCCTGAGATGGTCCGAGGCATCCGCGTGTTTCAGATTCTCCAAGCTCTTCCCCTGTAGCTGGCTGAGCATGTGGATAGGGTGTAGGACCGAGGGCGTAGCTTTTAGGGTTATAGTTATAGGGTTTAGGGTTTAGGGTTTAGGGTTTAGGGTTTAGGGTTTAGGGTATAGGGTTGGGATAGATGTGTAGGGAGGTAAACCGTGAGCCCCAAACTTGTAGCAGTTGCTTGAGGAGGAAACGCTGCCACATTGCCTAGGCTCTGGTTCCATGGCGATTTGCCTTCGCTGTATCAATTGAGCGAGGCATCTGCGGAATTGGACGAGTTTTGGTCACACAGTTGGCGGGCGTCCCTATGGATAAAGTACGTCAACATCCTGTATTTGAGCTTGCGGCGTGATTGTATGAGTTTTGCCCTAGACCCTAAACTCTGAACCCTGTACCCCCCCAAACCCTAAACTAAGCCCTAAACCGCACATTGTATCCTCTGACCCGTGTGGAAGACCGCAAAGGAATAACTGCTCACTGGCGAGCGGTGTCGGAACCTTCTTTGCCGCCTTGGCAGCCCTGCTTTACTACGTGGGTGTTTTACCCGTGTGGGAATCAGGACGGCAAGATTCCGGATCTGAGCCCTAAACCCTAAACCCTCAACCCTAAACCCTAAACCCTAATCCGCGGAGGTCTGCCAAAAGGTCTGGGTTTAGAGCTTCTAAAGTGCTGAAGCCTATAAAAAAACGGTCGGAATAGTTACTAGTATTCCTTTTGAGTGCCTTTGTAATTTGTAATTTTACCGTAGTCACCCCCAAAACCCTACTCTAATGAATTGGGGAAAGTAGGTTCCTTTACAGCAGAGTGTGTCATGCTAGGAATTGGGCGAAGGGATTTTCTGAAGGCGGTCGTCGAGAAGGTTGTCGTTATCGTTGATGGATGTCGTGACAGCGTGATATGGTGTGAGGCATGTTCGGCATGTTCGTAAGTATATATAAACCCTATAAACCCTAAACCCTAAGTTTGAAAAAGCACAGGGTCGGGTTTGCGGTACCCGCGGCACCTCCTGAAGATCGCGCTGGCGCGTGGGGCGTCCTCGACATGCTGGGCGCAAATAGCGACAACCCTCTCGGTGATCGCACTGTGTTGTGATGCTGGCATATGCTGGCGCGTGCTCGAAATTCTGGGCGCCAACGACGATCCTCTCGGTGTCCGAGGGGTGTCCTGACGCTGGCGCGGTGCGGCGTCATCGATATTCTGGGCGCAAAGCGCCGCGTCCTGACGCGCGCGCGAGGGGCGTCCTCACCTCTGCAGAATTTCTCTCGGTGTTCGAGGGGTGTCCTGACGCTGGTACGCGGGCGTCCTCGTTGTTCTGGGTGCAAGCGACAACCTTCTCGGTGTACGGGTGTCTTGACGCTGGCGCGAGGGGCAACGACAACGCTCTCGGTGTTCGCGGGATGTCCTGACGCTGGCGCGTGGGCCGTCCTCGCAACGTAAGTAAAGGTCTCACGAAGTCCTAATTGCGGCTCGAAAATGCTTTCGCGAAAGCCCTGCTCTTTAGTTCATTGCGGTTTGCGGCAGAGTTTGGAATTGGCTTCACCAGATCAAGCGGAATGTAAGTTGTCCCACACATCCCTGTTGAAAGACAAAGCCTGCTTTTCTGACCTGTCATTGCTATACGAAATAAGGGACCCCGAATATAGTCCCCCAAATAGTAGGATTCCCTTGTGATGCGAAGCCCACTAACAGTAGGAACCTTAGTGGGCCTAAAGCTTGTGCCGTGACCCTCCAGTGAAGGATATCCGCGCTGCAGATGGTCCACAATCTTTGGCATCGCAGCATTCTATCTGAGCCTCTTACTTTACAGGCGGTCAAAGCTCGTTTTCTTCGATATCGGCTGCATACACCAACGCGACGGAGCATTGAAGATACGTGGTCTCCTCAGCCTGGGTGCAGTCCTGAAAAGCTCGAAGTCATTGCAGGTGCTGTGGCACCGGACTTTCGTGACGAGACTCTGGTGTCTCTTCGAAATTGGAGCTTTTCTGCACATCCGTCAAGAAGAAAAGAGGCCGCTGGCGGTTTGCCCACCACTGTTGGGGCCTGGTGCACTTGGATTCCATGTGTGTGCGAGCCTGTTTGTCTGTGCGGTGCTGTTTCTGGTGCAGCTGCGACAGATAGCGATGAGTGGCTTGATCCTGGTCGGCTGTCTGTTTTTCCTGTCGTTCACCATGTTTGTACATGCAATGCGGGCATACTGTCGAGACATCGATACGATGCAACGTCAGCTGATGGAGTTTTCAGTTAGCAGCGCTACATCACACTGTTGTGAAAGCAGCTCGTGCGCCAACCACGTTTCAATTTGTGATCGTGCAGCTCCACCGCACTTCTTATTGGGATATAGTACCTGAAACGTCAGCAGCATGTTCTTGATTTCTTGCTTTGATACCTCCCGCATAAGACAGATGAAGGAAGTGATCCTTCAGTGCATCGTTGCCTGGTTCGGGTCAGTTGAGAACTTCGAGATCCATGTCCGCTCTGATGTCCGTGTGTCTTGGTAGTCCAGTGGTACCCTTTCCCCTTTTTTTTTTGTTCTGGGTTCCCTTGTAAAGAAAGGCAAGGCAAAAAAAGGGTGCCCTTGTCATAATATGCTTACTGGGATACCAAGGTGTCAATGGCAGGTCAACTTGCAAACGGAGCGTTTCTGTACCACCGCATACTTTCAGCGACCACGCCACTCTTTTGGTTCTATTTTGATGTGACCATCAGCGTGAAGGATCATCGAAAACTTCCGTCTCTATTCCGGAGCTTGGCGTTGTGGCTCGCTGCACTACCCTGCCTGGTCAAGCTGATGCTTCACTTGAGCTATCGGCTGAGGACCAAGCGCGGCAGTGTCTGTGCGGATTGCTTGGTCTCCGCAGGCCTTATGCTTTCAGTTTCCCTGCTGGTCTTCGCTCTTCTCGTGGGCGGGATTTACCTTTTCGACCCCAACGACGATTCCATGATGAAGACTTTAACCTTCTTTTTCTTGTCAATTCTAATCACGGGTTTGGTCTGGCAAAAAGTGCCAACGATCCGATTGGACCCACATCCCAGCTCGCTGCCTGCGTGCTAGGGTTTAGAGAGTCGGGTTCCTGGGATGCTAGGACAGCCACTATTTCGAGGCTCTCCATCCTCCACACTGAGTTAGGCTTGTTCACCGATAGCGCCACCCTCAGAAGTAGGTGCGTGTTGTTCCAGGTGTTGTGGGTCCCGACTCCCTCAGAAGTGCAGGCATAACCCTGTCGCAGACACCTGCTACAGGTGTTTGCGTGAGAAAGCTATTTGCTTTCGAACACCGGCAAGCTATCGCTCAGTGCATGGTGTCAGTTCAATAGAAAAAGATTGGGGTTCAGCTGCTGCATTCCCACCGAGCATTCTCACCGAATCGTTTGGATCTTTCTTGGAGATCTCAGCTGCAGTTGTAGGCCCTAAACCCTAAACCCTAGACCCGATTGTGTTATGCTATATGCTGCAATGCAGTTGAAGTTTGGGGCACGTGAAGGGGCTTGAAGGTTTGGGTCTGGGCCGGAACGCCGTGACCTTAGGGTTTAGGGTTTAGGGTTTAAGGTTAAGGGTTTGGGGTTTGGGGTGTGGATCTGTACCCAGCGCTGGTAACATATCTGCAGGGATCCCTTGTTTCGACCACAAAGAAGGATCGTGCGCTCACTTGCAGCGCGACCTACTGTGAAACATGGCCAGGCATACCCACTGACTAAGGTGCATTTCCCAATTGAGTTAAGGGCTTATGTTTAATCATCCAGGATTTCTCTGCCAGGATGGGCTACTAGGCCGTAAAATCCCCATAATGAACCCTATAAAGGGCCTTTTCAGGGATTATAGGGTACAATAGCCCATCCTGGTAACCCTAAACCCTAAACCCTAAACCCTAAAACCCTAAAGGGAGCTGCTCTTGCAGGAGTATGCGGCGATCATGCTCTACACCTCCAACGCCATCTACAAGGAGCTGAATCAGGCTCTGCGCATCTTGGCCCGCAAGTTTTCGGGTTTAGGATTTAGGGTTTAGGGTTTCGGGTTTAGGGTTTCTTGGGTTTAGGGCTTTTAGGGTTTAGGGCTTTTAGGGTTCAGGGCCGCAAGCATCGAGGCATGTTTTGCATTGCCGGCCCTTGTCCTCGCTAAAGAGTCCTCCCCCGCTTTACCCACCCGGAGCCCATTTCAGGGCTGAGGGCTGCTTAGAATCCCTAAACCCTAAACCCTAAACCCTAAACCCTAAACCCTAAACCCTAAACCCTAAACCTAAACTCTATGTCACCTTATAGGCCTATACCCACCGCGACACCCGCGCAAGAAGTCGCAGGCTCGGGTAGAGGCGCACGTCTCATCCTTTCACACCCTGCACCCTGAACTTTAAACCCTAAGCCTAAACCCTAAACCCTAAACCCTAAACCCTAAACCTAAACCCTAAACCCTAAACCCTAAACCTAAAGCCTAAACCTTAAACCCTAGCTCTAAACCCTAAACCCTAAACCCTATAATTCACCCTTTCCCCTAAACCATAGACTTCCCCCCCCCCCCCCGCCCCCTCGCCCCACTAGACCAGATCAGATCTGCAGCAAAGAGGTGATGGCAACCGCGGCAAGCTGAAGAAGCCTCTCGGCCCTGCATTCGGGGCTTCTGTCGGCCACCGGGACCCTAAACGCTCAACGGGTTTAGGGTTTAGGGTTTAGGTTTAACCCTAAACCCCATTTCTTAACCCTAAAATCCTAAACCCTAAACCCTAAACATCCCCTAAACCCTAAACGCTACGGGGTGTTGGATAAGTCGGTTCCGTGTCAGGGCTTGGGTGTTATGAAGTCTTTAAGGTCTAGGGTTTAGGGATTTAGGGTTTAGGGTTTAGGGTTTAGGGTTTAGGGTTCAGGAAAATGCCCATATGTTGCGGGCGTTGTGTGAAAGAGGATCTTATGCAGGATGGTTTTTCTCAGAGGCTTCAAAGGGCCAAGCCAGCCTGTTCTCTAGCCTTTGATCAAGCGCTCGCATATTTTCCCTGTATTGGGTTGAAACCCTGGACCCTAGACCATAATAACCCCCAAAGCATCCGAGTTTTGAACCCTGCAAACCGTAAACCCCAAGCCCTAAACCCTAAACCCTAAACCCTGCAAACCCTAAACCCTAAACCCCCTAAACCCTAAACCCTAAACCCTAAACCCTAAGGTACTTCAAGTACTTGCGGCTGTTCTTCGAGTCCATGAACGCCCTCCCCAAGCAGAAGCGCAAGCTCTGGCGGGGCCTCTCCGTGGATCTCCACAAAAACCCACAGATCCCTGGGCATAATTTGGAGGGTTTAGGGTTTAGGGTTTAGGGTTTAGGGTTTAGGGTTTAGGGTTTAGGGTTTCGGAGGGCTTTGGGGCGGTTTGAGGTTTTCAGGCTTGTTTCGGCTTGTAGGGTTTCGAATTTGTGGTGCTTATGGCTGTGGGCAGGGCATGGGGTCTACAGCCGGCTATGTTGATTTCAGGTGTGTTGGGCTTGTGGGGTTTGATATTTGTAGGGCTTGGGGCCGACTTGGGGCTTAGGGCTTAGGGTCCCTAAACCCTAAACCCTACCTAAACCCTAAACCGTAAACCGTGGGGGGGGGGGGGGGGGGGGGCTCGGCACTCATCTATTCTGGATGCCCTTCCTGCATTTCGCAAAGTCACTTGAGGTATATTTAGGCGTAGAAGTAGGCGGAACCGCTGCAACACCTTGGGCTCCCAAACCACCCTAAACCCTAAACCCTAGACCCTAGACCCTAGACCCTAGACCCTAAACCGCCGTAAATCGCGCGACAAATCTTGCAAAGCTGTGGGACAAAAATCCCCAAGCGGGCTGAAAAGGCTGGCCTGGGAAAATCCACTCCTGCGAGCCCAAACCCCCCCAAGAACCAAGCCCTAGAGCCCTCAGACCCTGAATCCTCTGACCCCGGAGCCCTTTTCTCCCAGATTCTGAATCACCCTCGCCTACACACCCTTAAGCAACTGACCCTGAAACCCTGAGACCTAAACTGCTTATGCCCTAAAACCCCGAAGTCCCCAAATCCTCAACCCTAAACCTCTCAAACCCTAAACCCTAAACCCTAAGCCCCTCAAACCCTAAACCCTGAACCCTAAGCCCCTCAAACCCTAAGCCCTAAACCCTAAACCCTAAACCCTAAGCCCCTCAAACCCTAAGCCCTAAACCCTAAACCCTAAACCCTAAACCCTGAGCACAGGTACAAGGTGGGCGGTACGGTAGTTTGGTGGGGCATCTCCAGCTGCACCTCCGCCGGGGCGCCCATGGACTTGGTAGTTCAGTCAAGCCAGGGTTTAGGGTTTAGGGTTTAGGGTTTAGGGCTTGGGGTTTAGGGCAGTTTAGGGTTTAGGGTTTAGGGTTTAGTGTTTAAGGTTTAAGGTTTAGGGTTTGCCCTTTTTTGGGGTTCAAGGTTCCCTTCTACAGAAACCAACCCCAAACAGGGTACCCGTCTTGTAATATGGTTGCTGGGCTGCCAAGTTTAAGAAAGGTTTCAGGTCGGCGTGTGAATGTAACCCCCCCCCCCCCCCGTGGAAGAATCTGGAAACCCGACTTATACTGTTTGTATCCCTGCGAGTCCCTATACTCGCTTGTTCGCGCCTATTTCGGTTTAAAGCTAAGAGCTCAAGGATTTGGGTTGAGGGTCCAAGTTGAGGAAGTGAGGTGTGGGGGGGTTCATGGGTTGTAGGGTTGTAGTGTCGTAGGGTTTTAGTGTTGTAAGGTAGGGTTGGTTTAAGGATAGGGTTTAGGGTTTAGGGTTTAGGGTTTGGAACCGTCAGCATGGAGACTTTACACAGGGGAGAAGAGAGTTGGAAGGGAGGCCCGGCTTTCTGGGGGTCAGGGTTTGGGGTTTGGGGTTTAGGGTTTAGGGTTTAGGGTTTAGGGTTTGTTGCCATGCGACTTGTTCCCGGAAGTGGTAGAGTGCGAAGGATGCAGGTGTTAGATGCCTCAACCCGGAACTTCGAATCGCATTTGGTCCTTCATTATGTACTCATGGCATGTCCTCACTCTCTTCTCTCTCTCTCTCTATTTATATATATATATATACCTACCTTTATTTAAGGGTATACATACATATATTTATATATACTAACATTAGGGATTCCTATCTTCTCTGAAAAAAAGGCTAAGGGCCTAACCTTACGCATCCCACACTTGCGCCAGACCTCGAGAGTTGGCAGGGTGGGTGGGCCGGGGGGGGGGGGGGTAGGACCATAACGTCGCCAAGAACTTCGCCAAAGGCTGCGGAGGAAAATGCGGCTTGCCAGCAACTCTTCGTGGAGAAGCCTTTTGAGCCCTCTCGTCCTGTATCCCCACAATCCCCACAATCCCCACAAACCCCGTCTACAAGCCCTATAGCCCATCACTTCTCCCTAAACACCCTAAACCCCACACCCTAAACCCTAAACCCTAAACCCTCAACCCTAACCCTAAACCCTAAACCCTACACCCTAAACTCCAAAAACCTTCCTTGAACCGTTTGGCATAAAGCTCGTACGACAGTAGTCTGCACACCTATCGCTCCACCCAACCGTACCAGGGTTTCGAATTTATGGTGTTTATGGCTGGGTCAGGGCATGTTGTCTACGGCCGGCTATGTTCATTTCAGGTGTTTTGGGCTTGTGGGGTTTGATATTTATAGGGCTTGGGCCTTAGGACTTAGGGTTCAGGTTTTAGGGGCGCTCGGCACTCATCTCTCATGGATGCCCTTCATGTTTAGGCGGAAACCCTGCAGCCGCCTCCAACACTTTGCCCTAAGCACCTAATTATGAAATGCTCGGGTCGTAAAGTACCTCATATAGGGACTTTGGGGCCCAGGTAGAAAGTAGTAAGGTACATTAATTCTTAGCATTTTAATGTACTAGGACCCACACTAGGCCCTCGTTCCCTTTTCTGTTCGGGTTTAGGTTCCAGTAGAAGTCCCTTCAAGCTAAAAAGGGCACCCTTTTATTCCTAGGTTACTCTTCGGGCTTTTTGGGGATTCGGGCTTTAGCGTTTCGGGGTTTCAGCGTGTTAGGGTTTCAGGGCTTCTGGGCTTTGGGGCTTCGGGGTTTACAAGGAGGTGTTCACGCTTTGGGGTTTTAGGGTTTCAGGGGGTTCAGTGCTTTGGGCTTTCAGGATCCTGGCGTTTCTGTGTTTGGGGGTTTCAGGATAATCCTAAACCCTAAACCCTAAACCCTAAACCCTAAACCCTACACCCTACACCCTAAACCCTTAGCGTTTCAGGGCTTGGTTCTGGAGCAGCTGCAGGCACCGTCATCACAGTGGAGTCGAAGACGGCCGCGGACATCTCTCAGGCGAGGCTTCCAGATTTAGGGTTTAGGGTTTGGGGTTTAGGATTTTGGGTTTTGGGTTTTGGGTTTTGGGTTTAGGGGCTTGGTAGGGGGGTTCGGGATAAGGGTTGAGGAGTTGAGGAGTTTAGGAGTGTAGGGCTTAGGGTTTAGGGTTTAGGGTTTAGGGTTCCCGGCCCTAACACTGTGCGAGCTTCTGGCTCTTAGGGAAATTCGGTCTGCGGAGATACCCTGCTCCTCGGGGAGACTCAGTTTGTATCCGGAGCCATTGGTAGGAACCCTTTAAGCTAAAGTCTGTGAACCCCAAAAACCCTCAACCTAAACCCTAAGCCCTATAGAACCCCAAACCCTAAACCCTAAGCCCTAAACCCTAAACCCTAAACCCTAAACCCTAAACCCTAAACCCTAAACCCTAAACCCTAAACCCTAAACCCTAAACCCTAACCCTAGAAAGACCTTGCCAAGAGCCAAGTTTCCCTAAGCACCCAGAGCAAGCCCTCAAACCAAACATGTAGGCTACTCTTAGGTCTCGGGTTTAGGGTTTAGGGCTTGGGGTTTAGGATTCAGGGTTTCGGTTCCTAAACCCTACTACGAAACAAGATTCGCCTGTTTCGGGCACTTGAGGGGCACCCGAGCATGATTAACTCAAGCTCGGCCAGCGAAAGCCCCTCAACCTCCCACCTACGCGTCTAGGGTTTAGGGTTTAGAGTTTAGGGTTTAGGGTTTAGGGTTTCGGGTTTAGGGTTTAGGGGGCTTTCACGGCTTTGGCGGCTTTAGGGGTCTTTGGGGGTTTAGGGATTTCGGATGCTTGGGGCTTAGCGGGTGTTGGGCTGAGGTTCCCAGTTAAACAAACCCCCGTGGGGTCTTCCCTGCTATACTTTGGTGGCTGGGGACCAACCCTAAACCCTAAACCCTAAACCCTAAACTCAAAAACTCAGGTGACTTTCTACAGCAACGAGAAGGAGAGCCTCTTAAGCCCCGGGACAGAGCTGAAGGTGAAAAGCAACAAGTGGGGCACTTAGAGTTTTAGGTCTGGGGCAGGTTTTGGTGTTTCTGTTTTTCTCTCTACTTTTTTTTTGGGGTGGGGGGGGGGGAGGGGGTTAGAGTCTATAGGGTTTACCTGCGGGCCCTTGGAAGTTTTAGTTTGTTTGTTTCGCTTTTGGGTGGGGGGGCGGGAGGGGGGTGGTTTGGCTTAGCCTTTTGGCTCCAATGTGGTACGTGTTAGGGTTTAGGGTCCTAGGCGATCCGGAAATTTAGTTCTTCCCGGGGTTGTGATAAGCTTAGGGTTCTTTGTTCCCGAGTTCTTCTTGTGTGTGAGACGCAGCTTGACAGTTGCTATCCTACACAAGGGACCCGCAACAACAAAGCATCATTTCGTGAACTGGCCGCTAAACCCTAAACCCTAAAACCCTAAACCCTAAACCCTAACGTCTAAACCCCTAAACCCCTAGACCCTAAACGCTAAGCCCTAAACCTTAAACCCTTGGTACAACTCGAAGCCTAAGAACAACCGAGGATGTCCGGGAGTGTTTGCGAAATCACCCTCGAGGAAGTCGGCCGACGTCTCAACTGAGCTGCGCCCTCGTTTAGGAGTTAGGGTTTAGGGTTTAGGGTTTAGGGTTAAGGGTTTAGGGTTTAGGGTTTAGGGTTTAGGGCACTGGGGGACGTACCATGCTCCCTCCCTCAGCCGGCTGCGGGCGTCCCAGCTTTCCCAAGAAAAGCCAACTTACAGAGGGCTTGTAGGTTTCGCCTCCGAACTAGGAACCCTTTCAGGTCTACGTAGTTATTCTTGCTGCAATCTAAAACATATATATATATATATGTATCCATGAGAGGCTGGTCCCTTAGTTTTAGTCTTCGGTGGGGGACTGGTGGGACTACATAAAACGGCAAGCTTAAGAGCACAAAACCTGCCTTCACATGCACGAGCAAACGGAAGGGCCCTAGTTATTCGCCTTCCGCGTGCCCTTGTAGGATTGTAGGCCCCCTGCGAGATACCAAACCCTAAACCCTAAACCCTAGCCCTAAACCCTAAACCCTAAACCCTAAACCCTAAACCCTAAACCCTAAACCCCCCTCCCTCCCCACCCCCGCACCGGTGTCGGAGGGGGCATCCAATGTCTTTGCAAATAGCAACCGCTCCAGCCATGGCTTTGGGAAGACTTAGCTGTGTAGGGTTTTGGGCTTAGGGCTTAGGGTTTAAAGGTGAGGGTTTGGGTTTTAGTGTTTAGGGTTTAGGGTTTAGGGTTTAGGGTTTAGGGTTTAGGGTTTGGGGCTCTGGTAGCCCAGCACGAAGAGCACCTATAACCGTAAAATTTGCGGGTTCACATCCACACGCCGTGGCTGACCTCCACTTTGAAAGCTCCTGTGCGGACATCCGCAGCGTGAAAAACGCTGTGGTCGCGCAGCACAGCCGAGCGACCAGCTTGGCAGACCATCGCTTGGAAAAAACCAGACATGCTGCTTGGAGGTTCACGGTACTTCTTAGCCAAGTATAGCCGTACCTATACCCGTACTTATAACCATGTTAGGGCACTTAAGGGCTTATAAGTGGGTTGTAAGTACAGTCATATTTGGTTAATAAGTACCATGAACCTCCACGTACAGCACGCCCTTGCCAAACCCAAAGCAGAAACCTGCACCCTCAACCCTAAACCCTGTGAAACGGCATTGTGACCCTAACCCTATACTACTTGTAGCCTTCCTATAAACTACCCCCACTTTACACTCCAAGCCCTATAGCCTAACCTCGAGACTCATAAATCCTAGCCTCGCAACAGCCTCCCCTGCAACCTAAACCACATGCCCTAAATCCTAAAGATCTACAAGCCCCAAACACGCCCTCGATAACCATCTCAAGGTCTCCAAAGCCCCTCTAAACCCTCCAAGACCCTCTAAACCTTCAATAACACACTCAAAAGCCCTCGAGACCCCCTCAACCCCAAACCCTAAACCCTAAACCCTCTTAAACTCCAAAGAAAGCGAGCTGCCAGCTCCCTTGGCAGGTCGCCGCCTTGCAGGCCGAAGTCGCACGCCTGAGGCCTTGGGTTTAGGGTTTAGGGTTTAGGGTTTGGGGTTTAGGGTTTAGGGTTTAGGGTTTGGGGTTCAGGGTTTCGCGCTTTAGGGTTGAGGGGGCTCTTACTTTGGGGTGCTGGGTGTTCGGGTTGTTTTGGGGTTTAGGGTTGAAAGTTTGGGTTTAGGGGGCTCTGATTTTGGGGTGCTGAGTTTTTGTTAGGGTTGTAGCATGTTAGGGCTGTAGGGACTTTTAGAGTGTTGAGACTTGATGCATCGCATCGCAGGAATATCGAGCGCTCGCCCTAAACCAAGCCTGGAGAGGTCTGGAGTTCCTATACCCTCTCAGAAAAAATTCCGCAGAGTCCCCACAGGACCAGCGCCCGAGAGCAAAACTCCGACAATTGTTCAGACCCAATCGTGTAATTAGTGAGTACGGCGTAGACCTACTACCCTCCTCTATGCTGCCCCCCCCTAAGTTCCCCCCATCCAGGAAGTGACAACCCAGTCGGCCAAAGGCGTTGACAGTTCCGAGGACTGCAAGTGCGGCCACGCCCGCGCCCAGGCGAGAGCGTGAGTTCGCCCGCACTGCCTTCAAGCCTCGAGTGAAGCCCATGGTTCCACCGCGCGTGCGGGCGCCGCGCGGGCCCGGCGATCTAGCCGGGCTGGAGGGCTGAGGGGCTGGAGGGTAGAAATCGGACTGGCGGCTGTTGCTTGGATACGTACTCCAAAGGAAAAAGGCCTGGAAGGCTAACCGAATCCCTTGTAAGGCAACTGTTGAAGTAGTAAGATGCAATAGCGCTTGGGAGGCGATCGACACCCGCAGCAACTTCTGAGCACAATTTCCACCATGTTTCCATTTAAACCCGAAACCCTAAACCCTAAACCCTAATCCCTGAACCCTAAACCCTAAACCCTGAGTGGAACAGGTCGGGGATAACAGCCAGTCGCATGGCACGAGACACTCGATTGCTTTCTGTGGATATGATTCTTCAGCCTATACGCCACCCTTCGAACCTTCAGCCCTCCCCTATTTCCATTTCTACCCTAAACCCTAAACCCCAAACCCCAAACCCTAAACCCCAAACCTCAAACCCCAAACCCTAAACCCTAAACCCTAAACCCTACACCCTACACCCTACACCCTTACCCTAAGGCCCCCGAGCCTATTCCCCAAACCTCCCTCTGGTGCCAGGGCAAGTCGGACGGAGGTGCCTTGGGATGGTCGTGTGTTTGGGTGGTTTAAGGCTTAGGGGTTTAGTATTTAGGGTTTAGGGTTTAGGATTTAGGGTTTAGGGTTTAGGATTTAGGGTTATAGGGTTTAGGATTTAGGGTTATAGGGTTTAGGATTTAGGGTTTGGAATTTAGGGTTTCAAGGGTGCGGTGATTTGGACGGATGGGCTGGCATGTATATTCGGGCTTGACAGGTGGCTTGCAAGGTGTTTTTTGGGGACCAGGCTCGAGGTGGATATGTTTGTGGGTTTAGGGCTTAGGGTGTTAGGGTGTTAGGGTGTTAGGGTGTTAGGGTGTTAGGGTGTTAGGGTTTAGGGTTTAGGATTTAGGGTGTTAATGGTTCAAGGAGAACTTAGGGACCGGGTGGGTAACCTTTAGCCTTCTCGAAGAAGGTTAACCTTTTTCGGGGGCTAGGGTATTCAGCCCCTGACTTCATTGCACACTGCCAATTCCGAAGGCCGTGTTCTATTTCAACACAAACACTGTACTTTCTTTGCGGGCGGTAAGGTTTGAGTCAACCTACTACAAGCCCAAGTCTACCCTATCCAGGACCCAGAGTAGGCCCTTATTCCCCTTTGTTAGATTTCGGATTCCCTTTAAAAGCCCCTTTAAACCGAAAAGGGTACCCCCTTTCTGTTCCCAGGCTACTCTTGGGGTTTAGGGTTTAGGGTCTGGATTTCTGTGTACATGGAACCTTATGGTATGATAATCCCATAGGAGCCTATTCTTCTAAGCAGACAGTAGGGCTTTGGCTTGAAGGGTGGTGGGCCTTAGGGTTTAGGGTTCAGGGTTCAGGGTTTAGGGTTCAGGGTGTCTGTCATCCTGCAGAACGTGTGGGGCTTTAGGTTTTCGGGCTGTGGGCTAAGGTTCGGTTCCAGGGTTGAGCTGGATGATGCATAGCTCCCCAAGCAGATCCTGGGGCAAATGCAACAGAGCCGGAAAACACGAACGTTTCATATCCTCGTCAAGCTTTTTTCTTTTTCAGGACATCATTTTACGGCATTTATACAAGACGACTAGAGCTCAGTTTTGCTCCTAGTTGATTGTCCACATACCGTTTCTGGCGCGCAGATTGGAAGCAAGCGATGTCAGACAAGCTTCACTTGCAAGTTCTTAGTAGGGCATTTGGAGGTACCTCAGCATAGTGTCCTTAGGGTTTAGGGTTTAGGGGTTTAGGGTTTAGGGTTTAGGGTTTAGGGCTACAAGGCCCTCCAAGCAGTTCTATGGGGATCCGAATTCAGTGCTGCATCGGTCTCCCCACAAGGCCGCACAGGAGGAGCCCCCCTCTGCCAGAGCCTCGGTCGGAGGGGTCTGGGGTGGGAGGTTATCGCTAAACCCTAAACCCTGAACCCTGAATCCTAAACCCTAAACCCTAAACCCTGGCCCTAAACCCTACAGGGATGGGTTTGGGGTTTAGGGTTTCGGGTTTAGGGTTTAGGATTTAGGGTTTGTTTTTGGGGGGCTTTTGTGCTTGGACGTGCAAGGTTGTTTGGTAGACTCGCCCTAATCGTCTCGGAGCTGTACCGTGAAGCTCCAAACAACGCATGTCGAACGCATCATTTCAGGGTTGAGGGTTCAGGATTTAGGGTTAGGGTTTAGGGTGGTATCCCTCTTGAGAACTGTCGATACGAGACACCAGCGGCACCATTGGGACGCGTGTAGTCTAGAGAATTGACTCTATGGAGGTTTCAGCTGTTGAGGCCCTAAACCCGAAACCCCAAACCCCAAAACCCAAACCCCAAACCCCAAACCCCAAACCCCAAACCCTAAACCTAACCCCTAAACAGGCTTTTCAAGTCTGGCTATGAAGGCTGATGTCGGCTTGTTTTTCAGACTGTGTAGCTGTCAAGGTCCCGGGGTCCTTGACAGCTTCAGGGGTTGAGGGTCTTCAAGTTTGGCTAGAAGGGCTTTTGTGGTTTTCCTAAACTCTACACCCTAAACCCTAAACCCCTAAACCTCTCTTTCATATAATAAGTTAAACCTCAATGACCTTCGTGGTTTAACGCCCAGAATTCGTGGTTTAAGGCCAGTCGCTCCCTTCGGCCTTAAACCACGAATTCTGGGCCTTAAACCACGAAACGGGTCTGGTTATTGTTCGTGGCTTAAGGCCCAGAATTCGTTAGGTGTTTTTGTTGTCCGTGTTCGATTCGAGCGTAGGCTTTTGAACCTGAGATGATTGGAGAATGCTTGTATTTATGTTTTCTCAATGTTGTGGGATTCTCTGGGTGGGTGGGTGTTATATCAGAGCCGTAGATACACTTTACCATAAAACTGCTCGATCCGGAGCTGCTGAACCCAAAACCCTAGACCCTAGACCCTAGACCCTAA